ATTAGTGCGGCTCTTTTAAATTACATATTAACCGCACTAATCGAGGGATTCCTGTATACTGTTATGAACTTAGAGCTACTTAGGATAAACGACTGTAGTTTCATGTTACAATTTGAAGTCATTCTAGAATGAAAAAAGGGTAATTTTGATTTATTTCCTTTTTTTTGGTGGTTACGAGATTGGTTAAAGTAACAGATTTCATTTTGAGATAGAGTAGAGAAAATAACAGATAAACTATACAGTTTTACTGAAAAAAAAAGTTTGAAATGCATTTAGGAGGTTTTAGGGATTACACAAAGGAACTTTGAGATTTTTGAGATGAGGAAAAGTATTTTAAATTTTACCATGAAAATTACTTTGCACATGGACTATTCAAAACAAATACTCAATATACTCATGGACAAATCTATATTGCATTTTATTAAAAATACTTTTTGTATGTGAAAGACTTATAATATTAACTGAAAGACTGCCAAATCTTGTGAAGATATACACACTATATTGAAGGTTAGAAGTATTAAGTCTATAAAGACTTTAAATGAATACAAAGAGGTCACGTGGTTGGTCAAATTGACCAAGCCCGTATTGAGAGAGTTAAAGAATACCTGGTCAGGCATCACTCACCACAAAGTAGGATCCATAGGATAAAGAAATAGAGAAAGGCCCCTGAAAAGAAAGGAAAGTATGAATAAAAACTTACCAATTAGAGTTGTACCGAAGTCTGAAGAACTGCCACAGGTGGCAAATGAAACCCTAAAGAGGAGGAAACCGCAATGTGATGGAGTTAGTGAGAGATGAACATACTGGGTGTGGTCCACATGCTGGACTGCAAAATCTCCTCCATTGGACGCAAAAGACAAGAAGCAAGGGAAACTAAGGTGTCAGATCTGATGGGAGGACACCTAGAACAAATTCTGGGAGGAAGAAAGTAGGGAGGAATAGGCCAATCGAACCAAAAGATGAACCCAATTGGTAGGAGCATAAGGTGAAAGATCACTAAGGGAGGAGGATTGCCAGGGGATAAAAAGCTGTGAATGTGCACCCTGGAAGGAAGCAATATGGGCAATATAACAAAGAAGAGCCCTGACAGGGCACAGAAGCCTGTCTCTATCCAGTCGATTGTAAGGATGAGAAATAGGAGAAAAGGAGGAACCACCCTTTCGAGTTGCTGAGGTCTTTGGGAGAAAGGAACGATCTGGATAAATTAAAAGATGGGTAGAGTGATAAAGGGTACATGAAAAGTCAATGGCAAACAAATCAGACTGTTGATGTTCACAGGCTAAGAGAGGAAGGAAATATGTTTTAAGGGAAAGATGAAACATGGAACACAAGGCAATTGGTCCAAATGGAGGTAAAGTATGGGAATGGAAGACCACATTAACAACCTGATCCGGAAGGGTAGATCGTCTGGGAGGGCAAAGTATCCAGAAGGAACACATGAGCATGGGAAGGACAGAGAAAGTAAAAATTCTATGGCATTAGGAAAAACAAAAGGTAATGAATAAGGCTGCCCAATATCCCAAAAGCAAAAAGACCTACAGCCAAAAAGCCAGGTGAGAAATTCCACCACACAAACCACAGTAGGCCAGTCAGCAGGAAAACTCCTAGTTGTAGACCAATGACAAAATACCTTTCACTTGTGTTGGTACACTTCCATGGAAGATGGATGGATGGAACCAGCTAATAATGAAGCGGCTCAATGTGTGAAACCAGATCTTCTCGTCAAGGACTGGACAAAAGCCAGGCATGAAAACACAGGACATGACGGGTGGGATGTAGAACATCTGACCGAGGTTGATGAAGAGGGTAGGGAGAAAGTCTATAAAACTTAATATTTTAAGTTAGTTTTTCTACCCTAACTTTATACAAGGTTAGTCAATTTGACTAACTCGTTTGTTGACTTGCATTCAAAATTTTCTTGAACTACTATTTCATGAACTTATGTCAATAACTTTGGTTTCCAACTGTAGATTATA